TGTCTAAGGATTTTAGGGCATTCCAATCCCCTGCATAGATGTCCTTGAGTAAACTCACAAATTCATCAGCCCTTTGATAGTTGCCCAATAACATCCCTGTCAAGGTTTCCTTAAATTTTTTAATTTCAAAGATGGAATAAAAGAATCAATTTGGTAAAAAGCACACACCCATAACCCATAAAGTACCCTTAATTAAGATCAGGAGTGACGGACATTCCTCTATCAATCAAATTATGAAAATAAATTAAAATCGAAGAACTTGAAAGTTAAGAATAGAAATACCATTGCTGTTAAAAAAAATAAAGAATAGAGATACTATTAATTTTCATTAATTATAAGATTATGAGAAAAAGCAAGAAACACACATCCCTGTCCCTTATGAGGAATAATAATACATATTCCTTAATCATATACTAATTTGGCATAAAATAATTATGTTAAGGAATACCTGTCTCTTTTTGTAGTTTCTTAAAGAATTTCTCAATTTTTCCTCATTTTTATAATTTGATGAAACCATAGGTCATTACTCCAACCAAAACGAGGCCTTAGACTATACGAGGATGGACGAAGTTGCAAGGCTAAAAGAGTGATTATTATACGGCATTAAAATAACGAAAATGATGTTTTTTTTTTTCTTTATAAGCGCGAAAATAATATAATCATAATATCACGTAACATTAAACTTATAATTATAATTTGTTAATATATAATTGATTTTTTTTTATTTAAGACGCATTTATAATATTATATATGTATCAACTCATTAAATGACATGTCAAGATTGTAATTTTATAATCCAACATAATATTATAATAACAGCATTGTCATTAAAATAAACAACAAAGAATGAACCTGGCTGGATCCAGTTGGCGCTGGAAATCAAACCTGCAGCATCAGTTTCACTTCCTCTGTGGCCGTCTACGTTTGGTGGTTTATGCAAATCGGCCAATGCATTCCATGCATCTCTGGCCGAATCCATCTCCTCAATCTGATCAAACGTTTCTGCTCCACATGACATCTTAATTGCAAGCAGAGCTAAAGCATTCTTTTTAGTCCAGTCCCCTGGATCTTCACTCCATGGAATTTGACTTGATAGAACAACATCCCAAAGGTCTTGAGCCACAAAATAGTGTCGCATTAAAATGCTCCACCTTTTATAATTATCTTCTTTAAGAACCTCAGGTATAATCACATTTAGAGATGCTGTTGCGTTAGTCTGTACAAAATACATAGCCATATATAAAACTATATTTTTTCCACAAAAGGAAAATTAAGCAATATAGAAGTCCTGTTAAATGAAGTTCGCCGCAGTTAAAATATTAACAAAGAACCATGTCTATTCTATGCGCTTAAAATTAATTAGTGGATACTGTGCCATACTTACATATGGAACGGGCTGTACCAAATTGGGAACCATGCTTCCTAAAAGCTGCAGCAGACGGACAAACCACAACAAGGAATGAATTGTAGTTTTTGAGGGCAAGACCTCTGATTTAAGCTATATTTATAGAATGGATTCACCTACGCCAAGTAAGGTTGTAGATGAGTTGAGCTGAGTTGAGTTGGAGTTTTTTTCAAGTTTAAATATGCTAAACGGAAAATAATTAGTACATTCTCAATTTGATACATTTTTTGATACCTATTTAGTTTAACTATCAAAATATAGTATAAATATAGCTGATTTAGTTGATTTTTACATCTTATATATATGATTGTATTTTTTAAATTTATCTATTTTTAATTTTATATTAAAAATAATAATTTTTTAATAAATATATTATATAATGTATTAAATCAGATAGTATACTAATCAATATTTTATATTAAATTCAAATTTAACTTGCAAATTAGCTTAAACTTAATTCATGAGTTTGCCTTGTGAACTCGAACTCCACTCATAAGTTTGATTAATTACTTAAATTTAATTTAAAATTTAAATAAAAATAAAATTGTAATATATAATTTTTTAAAATATGTTCAACTTGATTCAATAGTTTGGGTTCAAATTTGAGCTCAAACTCGAGTTTGAGCTGAGTTGAGCCCAATTCAAATTTAAGTTGAGTAACTTAGGGTAAGGGTATTATGAAGTCAATTGAGTGAGTTTGGAAGTGCACACATGAGAGAAAATGAACATATTTGAGGAAATGCCATATATATTGCACTATTTTAACTCTTTTCCCTCCAATGTGAGATTTTTGTCATCAATTTCCTCCTCTCTTTTTTTTTTTTGAATTAAAAGGAATTCAGTTCTTCATTGATACGAACAATTTTCTCATACACTTGAATAATCTCAAATTTAGATGTCTTTTTCCTATCCAAAATAAAGTCCTTTGAAGATGTAAGGAATCACTTATGAAATGAAAATTAGGACTTCAAAGTTTTTTCTTTTTTTTTTTTTGTTATTTTAAGATTTCTCCTATCATGAGTCGTCACCCTAAATTTACGTGATGCTTTTCTTTCCCTTCCCTCAATGAATTACTTCCCTTATTTTTCTTCTTTATGTTACTTTTCTTTCCATTTTTCTTTCGGTTCCTTACCTTAATTCTTTCGGTCGGACGAATTACTTCCCATACTTTTCTTTATGTTACTTTTCTTTTCCTTCCGTTACTTTTCTTCCCGAGAAACGCTGTGACTTTTTGTGACTTGAAATTAAGCTAACAATTTTTCTGCCTTTCAACTTTTGTGCAAAATATTATTAGGGAAAGAAAAATATTTATTATCAGGACTTTAAAAAAATTAAAAATAAAAATATTTTAAAATTATATCGCAATAAGCTACCATATATAGGAAAAGAGTAGCAACTTACTTTCTAAGCATAAATAAAATCGTTTGTCTTTTTCACTTATACTTTATTTTGAACAAAGTGCCAATGGTGGGATTCGAATTTCGAACCTACCAGGAGAGGAGGGACTGCACCTTCAAAGTGACCCGAAGGATCAGGTGCTTCACTTATACTTTATTAATTAAAATGACTTAAGATATAATAGTGTTTTTCGCCTAATTTTTAGAGATTTGACAAATAAATATTAATTCCATATTATTATTATGGTTTCATTTGTTAGTGTTATGTTATTGTTGTAGGTTATTTTTTTTTGTATTTAAATATTTAAAAATATATAAAATATTAATTAAAAATAATAAAAATACATAAAATTAATTAAAACTAATAAAATATATTTTTAAATAAATATTGTGCGGAAAAACTCCATATCAAGCATTCTGTGATTAAGCTAGTGGAACTAGACTTGGTGACAAGAATGAGTTGTGCATATGCTCCAACCCATTTTGGATAAAAACATGATAAACCTGGCCAACCCATTGGCCAAACCCGGTCAATTTAAAAAGGACCTTGATTGGTGCACACCCGGATCCAACACCCGGGTGTGCACCCCCATATAAAAAAAAAGATTGGACCGGGTGGGTGATGGGTATTTTTTTTTTTCAAAGGGGAGTGTGCACACCCGGGTGTTGACCCGGGTGTGCACATATCATTTTTCATTTAAAAATCTCTATTTTTTTTTAATTTTTAAAATTTTTACTTTTTATGCATTTTATTTTTTTATGACATGTATTTAATTAAATTTAACTATTTAAGTTGCTTTTAAAATATTTTATAAGTTATTTTTAAAGTGATTGTGTTTTGAAAATAAGATAATATCAATGTATAATAGTAAAGTATATTAAAAATTTTAAAAAGTTAAAATTTTAATTGATTGGTCAAACTAAGTGATTAAACTAGTTGAATCAAATCTTATACTAAAAACGAATCAGTCACCGAGTTGGGTTTTAAAATATTGGTATGAAATATTGTGAAACAAAGTTTATATCTATATTGAACTTAAGATCAACTGGTTCAACTAGCAATTAGCCAATTGCATCGAATTTAAAGAGGTTACTTAACTATTTAAAAACACAAGCTTTTAATTTGAAAATCTCATATTAGAATTTTAAGTTGCAGAAAACTATTTTTTATATATAACTCATCACTAAATGTACCAAAAAATTAAAAAAATTTAGTTAAAAAGAAATTAAACAAATTACTATGGACTCGATTATTATATATATTTGGTATCTTAACCTTTGTAGGAGATAAATACAAAGCATAGGTTATATTTTTTTGATGATATTTGTTTCACATATTTATTTTATAATTTTTTAATTTCTATCTTAAGGATGTATTTATTATTTTTTATGCTTTGAACAATTATATTTTTTTATTATTAATTGTTAAAAAAATTAATTTTTACTTTTTCAAACAAATTAATAAAAATGTATAGTAAATATATTCTTAAAGGTTTGTAAACCCTTTATTTATATTCACGCTAAAAATTACTGTGCACTTTTTGGTGGAACCGATCCAATCGTTGCTTAGCTTTGCAGTAAGAAATCATGTACAGATAACACAACTAGCTCAAAGTGACACATGTCAATTTAGAATTGAACCAAGACTAATAATAATGACGCAAGAATGACAGCCCTTGCCAAAAAAGAGTCATGGATGGACCCATGGTAGTTATGTGGGTTCATTTTCATTACACACATTTGCCCCCATATCACCCTTGGAGAGCAAGTTTTTAACTTTTAAATTAAATTTTCGTTGATAATCTTGTGAATTAATATCTCTATTCAACTTTAATAATTTTATT